GTCTCGCTTCACCAGGTCCATAGCATGGCTCAAGAGTTTCTCACATCCCACATCCCATCCGAATTTCAGAAAGGTATCATTCCGCTCTTGATGTACACTGGGTTCCTACGCTACTCCGACCTGGTCGCGATTCAGTGGCAGGACATTCAATTCGAGGATACGGCAATGTGGGTTCTAATCCCACACTCCAAAACTGACCAGGAGAGCAAAGGAGTGTGGGTCCCAGTCGCGGCAACAGATGGGCCATACTGCCCAGTCCAAACCACCCAGAAATTCATCAAGATTGCCGGCTATGACTCATCAACCGAAGGCCCTCTCATCCGAGTTTTCCCACGTGGCGCAAAGGCAACACCACAAGACAAATCTCCCTCATACCCCACTCTTCGGAACTGATGTTTGGAAGCCTTTCGCAAGATCGGGCTCGACGCAAAGCACTTGGGCACCCACTCATTTCGCAAAGGTGCAGCAACGACAGCTGCAGGAGTCGGGATCACGGATCGAATGTTCAAACGTCTAGGCCGCTGGCGCAGCGACACCGCGAAGGAGCTCTACGTCACCATCGCTCAAGACCAGCTCGTTGCAGCATCCCGGCTGATCCAGGACCCCACACGAGCCCCATCCTCCAACCAGCATCAGCTGTCTATCCAGCGACAGCGCCGTCCTCCTCTGCACATGTCTCAGCAGACCCAGATGAAATGAAGCACGATGCGTATTACAAGTTGCAATAAGCAAGCTTTCACAATATTATAATGTTTGAAAGTGTATTCACTTTCTAAAATTTTGTATTGTGATAGTGAAGCGATTGCCAACGCAGCAAAGGCAGCGTCGCATCGCTACTCGCCCTCTTTTGGCTACAAAAGAGGGGTTGGAGGCCATTTGGCCTCACCCACGTTCTTCTTTTCAGATTTTTAGTTTGAGTTCCCCACCCTCCCACCCTATGTAGTGAAATTGTATGTTGTAGACCTTTGGACGAGATTGATGTACTCTTACCCAGATGAAATGAAGCACGATGCCCCAGATGAAATGAAGCACGATGCCTATTACAAGTTGCAATAAGCAAGCTTTCACAATTGGAGTAGAACGCAAGCATTAAAATACACCATAAAAGGTTCCTCTTATTTTGTCCCAGCTCCACAACACCTGCACAAACACATTATCACCCAAAGGAGAAACAAAACAAGCAATGGTTTAAAACAATTATCTAACAAGCGATTATATGGTCTGTCAAGCACATGCAGTGCACCTCAAAACAAGCACACATAAAAACTGTGAAAGAGTATAGAGGGGTGGTTGCTAGAGCAACGGGCTGACGCGAGCCTGGGCTGCTGCCGCTGAACATCTGAGGCGGTTTCGAATAGGTTGAGCAGTTTTCAAAGCACTTTTTAAAGGGTTTTAGAGGAGTGGTTGTTTGATCGTACCTCTTGTATCGTTTCCCAGAGCCACCGGGGGACGGGCTATTACAAGCCGGGGCAGCTGCTGCTGCACTTTGAGGCGGTTCAGAGTAAGTTGAGCACTTTTTGGAGTACTTTTAGAGGGGTTCAAAGGGGTGGTTGTTTGAACGCACCTCTTATATTTCTTCCCAGACCCACATGGGCATGGGTTGTTGCGAGCTGGAGCTGCTGCTGCCGAGCCGGCACCGCCAGCCGAACCAGCACTAGCACCCGAACGTGCTCCCGTTTTGGGTGGGGACCAAGGCCCGCCCATCATTTGCTCGATCTGCAGAGGAGGTAAAAAGGGGGGACACAAGGTGGGAGGTACGCTGCATGTGCAGCGGCAGATGCAGAAACAGCAGCAGCAGAACCAGAGGGTGTAGCACTAGCTCCTGAACCTGCGCCTGATTTGGGTGGGGGCCAAGGGGTGGTTTTTGAGGCGCCTCAAAAACCACCTCATTGGGTGGGGACCAAGGGTCGCTCATCATCTGTTCAACCTGTGGAGGAGGTACACGGGAGGAGACAAGGTGGGTCTGAACCTGGGTGCGGATTATTCAAGTTTTTTGCTGAAGAGGTTGCACATATTGCAGCTCTTTTTCAGAACCAGTCACTCGTACGTGCTTAGCTAAAAGCACCCACTCTTTGTTCTCACCTCTGCAACGGATCGAGAAAGCGGTTTCCCTTGGAATTGTAGCGCCTGCATTCTGTTAGCCACATCCTTGAACCACTCGTACTTAGCTAAGAGCATGTCAATCTCAGAATCATTACAACACTTAGCTAAAAGCTTACATTCCTTGTTCCCACCTCTGCAAAGGATCGCGGAAGGAATTTCCCCTGGTCTTGTAGCGCCTGCATTCTGTTTGTCGCCTGCACTCGGTACTCACAAGGTGACTTTTGAGTCGACTCAGAAGTCACCTTGTTAACTGTCTCTGCGAACCACTCGTACTTACACACGAGCATGTCGATCTCAGGTTATTGCAATACTTAGCTAGAAGCTCCCATTATCTGTATATGGCATTGTAGCGACCGCACCCTTTTAGCAGCCTCTGCGAACCATTCGTAATTAGCTAAGAGCATCCTTGCATTCTGACAGTATTTAATAGATCTTCCTTACTTAGCTAAGCAACTAAATACTGACAGGGTCCTTGCATCCTGATAGATCTTCCTCTCGTATCAATCTCAGTTGTACTATCTTACTGCTTAACTGAATGCAAACGCTTAACTAAAGGAATCCTTTTTCTCACCTCTGCAAAGGACCGAGGGAGCGGTTTGCCCTGGTCTTGCAGCGCCTGCATTCTGTTGGCCGCCTCGGCAAACCACTCGTACTTAGCTAAGAGCATGTCAATCTCCCCCATGGTGCTGCCGGTCTCGCTGGCAACGCGCTGCCGCACACTGAAGGGGATGGATAGCTGGGGTGGGACGGGGGGAAGATCGATGGGATACTAGACCAGGGGGATGGGAGAGGATGAGGGACCGGGGATGGGAGAGGAATCATAGAAGCATGAGTTACCAGAAGGCATGGGTGGTGAGGAAAACGGGACACGAGACGGCTTTTGAGGCGCCTCAAAAGGTTACCATACGGCACGGGTGATGAGGGCACGGGTGATGAGGGCACGGGTGATGAGGGCACGGGTGATGAGGGCACGGGTGATGAGGGCACGGGTGATGAGGGCACGGGTGATGAGAGGAAAACTGCCCCGTTCCTTCCTTACCAGCTCGTCTGTCGAATTCGTTTCAGCAGCGTAAGCAGTAAGAGCCACCACTCACCCACTCGTGTGTAGCCTTGGCGTCAGCAGCATAAGCACCTAACGCCAGAGTGATAATCTCCTGCTTACTCTCTCCTGGTTACCGCCGTAAACGGTCGCACTCTCCTGTTATACTACCTAACGGTCGCACTCTCCTGTTATACTACCTAACGGTCGCACTCTCCTGTTATACTACCTAACAGTCGCACTCTCCTGTTATACTACCTAACGGTCGCACTCTCCTGTTATACTACCTAACGGTCGCACTCTCCTGTTATACTACCTAACGGTCGCACTCTCCTGTTATACTACCTCGGTTACCGCGTTCCTTTGTTACGAAACAAGGTCATTACTCACCCACTCGTTTGGAGAATTCTCTAAAGTCACGCTCACTGTTACACAATCCCAGCTACCACATTCCTTCCATATGAAACAACGCCACTACTCACCCGCTCATTGGACAGTTTGGCTTCAGCAGCATAGCCAGCAAGCGCCAGAGTGATGACTTCCTGCTTCCTCAGAGAATTTGTCACCACGCTCTGCCCGCCCTTAGGGAGAATCCTTACTGAGTGTCATAGCCTCATTACCACCATGTATGGTTACCCTCTGTCTTTCAATCCTCACCCGCTCGTCGGCTAGCTTGGCTTCAGCAGCATAGGCGGCAAGAGCGAGATTGATGACCTCTTGTTTCCTCAGTGAGTTTGTCACCACCTTGAATGGTTACACTCTCCTGTTACCACATTCCTGTTACACCCACCCGCTCGTCGGCCAGTTGGGCTTCAGCAGCATAGGCAGCAAGCGCCAGAGTGATGACCTTCCGCTTTCTCAGAGAGCTGGTTACCACCTTGAAAGGTTACACTCTCCCGTTCTCCAACTTAGATTGCCTTTTGAGTCGACTCAAAAGTCACCTAGGTTACACTCTCCCGTTCTCCAACTTAGATTGCCTTTTGAGTCGACTCAAAAGTCACCTAGGTTACACTCTCCCGTTCTCCAACTTAGATTGCCTTTTGAGTCGACTCAAAAGTCACCTAGGTTACACTCTCCCGTTCTCCAACTTAGATTGCCTTTTGAGTCGACTCAAAAGTCACCTAGGTTACACTCTCCCGTTCTCCAACTTAGATTGCCTTTTGAGTCGACTCAAAAGTCACCTAGGTTACACTCTCCCGTTCTCCAACTTAGATTGCCTTTTGAGTCGACTCAAAAGTCACCTAGGTTACACTCTCCCGTTCTCCAACTTAGATTGCCTTTTGAGTCGACTCAAAAGTCACCTAGGTTAGACTCTCCCGTTCTCCAACTTAGATTGCCTTTTGAATCGACTCAAAAGTCACCTAGGTTACACTCTCCCGTTCTCCAACTTAGATTGCCTTTTGAGTCGACTCAAAAGTCACCTAGGTTACACTCTCCCGTTCTCCAACTTAGATTGCCTTTTGAGTCGACTCAAAAGTCACCTAGGTTACACTCTCCCGTTCTCCAACTTAGATTGCCTTTTGAGTCGACTCAAAAGTCACCTAGGTTAGGCTCTCCCGTTCTCCAACTTAGATTGCCTTTTGAATCGACTCAAAAGTCACCTAGGTTACACTCTCCCGTTCTCCAACTTAGATTGCCTTTTGAGTCGACTCAAAAGTCACCTAGGTTACACTCTCCCGTTCTCCAACTTAGATTGCCATTCTTAATTACCCAATTCCCTCTCACCCGCTCGTCGGCTAGCTTGGCTTCAGCAGCATAGGCGGCAAGAGCGAGAGTGATGACTTCTTGCTTCCTCAGAGAGTTGGTTACCACGCTAAGTGGTTACACTCCCCTCTTACACTATCCCAGGCCAGGTAATTCATTTCTTACTCACCCGCTCGTCGGCCAGTTTGGCTTCAGCAGCATAGGCGGCAAGCGCCAGAGTGATGACTTCCTGCTTCCTCAGAGAATTTGTCACCACGCTCTGCCCGCCCTTGGGCAGACTTTTCCCGAAAGTTGTCAGCTGCCCGAACTGCCGCGCCCGCTTCAGCTGGTTGGCGAATTCTGGGAGGGAGGGATGGGGAGAATTTGAGTTACGTCATTTCCAATGACGTAAATTAAGCTTCTGCTTTGGCCATTCCGTTTTTTTCCCTCTTGCCCCATTCTCCCTTTGCCTATCCCCCCATTCCCATTTCCCCATTCTCCAAGTTCAGTGCTGCACCCCCCTGCTCTCCCTTCCCCATTTCCCCCATTTCCCCAACCCCCAATCCCCAAACCACCATAAAAACACCATGATGGTTGTTTGGCAAGCACACTTCACCACCTCCCATTCCCCGCGTTTCCCCAACCGCGTGTGTAATTTGCAGGCTTACCCGCCTTTTCCATTCTCCCATCCCCCAATTCCCCCATCCCCAACCCCCAACCCCCACTCCCACTCCCCCTTCCCACCAGTAAGACCCTCCGCGTGTGTCAAGCGCTTCGGTTCCCCTGCCTTCCCCGCGCCGCCCTTCCCCAGCCGCAGAAAGGTCTGGAACCGCGATAACCATCCGCCGCCGCTCTCCCCCTTGCTCTCCGCCTCCGCCGCTGCGCCCCCTCCCCTTCCCCCCGCGCCCTGCCCCCCTCTCTCTTCCCCTCCCCCGCCGAACAGCAGATTCCAGCCCCTGCGCTCGCTCCCAGCCTGATCCGAGCCTGGACCCGAGGCTCGGCCGGCGCTCGCTGCCGAGGCTAGTGGCGAGCCTGCGGGTGCGCTCGCTGCCGAGCCAGGCTGCCCTGCCGGAGCTGCGGTTCGGCCCGTGCCTGACACGTAGCTCCGCGCCGCGAAAGGAACGGCCGGAATTACGCTCCTCCTTTCACTCGTTGCAAGAGGAACGACCGCATCAGCCGCCGCGAAACGCGCCGTGATCGGCGCGAAAGGCGCGGCCTCTCGAAACGAATCAAGACGCGCGTCTCCAATCGCGCGACTCGAGAGGATTTGCGGGATTGGCGCGGGTGCTACTACTGAGGTCAAGGCATTCTGCGACTTGCGCGTAAGATCGGACTTGCGACGCAATACCTTAGCGGCCGACGCGGAAACGACGCGCAAGGTAGCATGGCGCATGGCGAAATTCCCAGTAAAACGAATAGATTCAAGGGAAACTGCTACTGGTGGGGATCGTCCCGAAAATATCAAGGATTTCAGGAAACTTTAGAGAGCAGGTTACTCTCGCTATAGCAAGCTCCAGTAATTGGACTCCTGTAATTGTTTTCACTTTGTACTGATCCACACGCTAATTGGACTAAACTAATTTTAGCGGAGAATAACTTCATGCAAAAAAAGGAAACATAATGGCAACCATAAGCTATTTCTTCAGCATTTCTTCATTGAGCAGCAAGGCGCGGAGAAACAGCTCTCCTCTCACCATCTCCCTGACAGCCGTTGGATCGTCAGCGATGAACCATGTGGAATCAACGGCTGAGATCTGCACACAATGACAAACGGCCATAAGTGACCTCCGTGCCAACGTTTTTGAGAATGATGGATAGATAAAACACTGCGCAGAAAAGGGCCTTCCTTGTGCCCTTGCTTACCTTTCCATGTGTGTTCATTTCGAATCTGGTCTTGCCAACCAGAAAAATCGCATCGTCCTGCTCCTTATCCCCTCCCTCCTTGTCTCCCTCTCCTTCCTTCTTCACTTCACTACCTTGCCTACCTCTCCCTTTTCCCCCACCACTGCTACTGCTACCTCCATTTATCCGACTTTGCTCCTCCTCCTCTTCCTCCTCATCCCCTTGCCTCCATTCATCCTTTCCCTTCTCAGCACCAAGTTTCCCATTTCTTCCCACACCACCCCTTTCATCCTGCCCCTCCTCTTCAGGAAGGTTCCTCCTGATCTCCGCCTCGTGCTCAGGAAGATTCCTCTTCCACCAGTCGGACAGCCCCATGCCTGCCACTGCTTGCCGCCCGCTCTTAGCTAAAAGGATTGTCCAGAGGGCAGTGATCCAGCGACGGTCTGAAGGACAGTGTAGAAAGGGGGGATCAGGTTACAAAACATACCTGCCTTCCACTCACCACTTCCCACCCACTCTTAAATAAAATTATGGTCCAGAGGGTGGTGATCCAGCAGCAGTTCAGAGGCAAGAAAGGGAGTAGAGATAAGGTGAGGCCTCTGAACACCATGGGTGAAAGGGAGTAGAGATAAGGTGAGGCCTCTGAACACCATGGATGAAAGGGAGTAGAGATAAGGTGAGGCCTCTGAACACCATGGATGAAAGGGAGTAGAGAAAGGTGAGGCCTCTGAACACCATGGATGAAAGGGAGTAGAGATAAGGTGAGGCCAAGGATGCGGATTGAACGAGGGAGGAAACACAATGGATGAAGGAATGGGCACCTGGATAAGGAATGGGCACCATGGATAAGGAATGGGCACCATGGATAAGGAATGGGCAGCTGGATAAGGAATGGGCACCATGGATAAGGTGTACCGTTTGCAGGGGCCTAGACAGGGTGCGAAGGCAACTTTCGAGTCGACTCACAAGGCATGATGTGGGTTACAACCAATTTTGCATGCAAAAAACATTCTCTCCACGTATAATCCGCGTGCGATGAGTCGACTCTAGAGTTGGCGCAGACACAGGTGCCGCCCACTGTCCCCAGCTGACTTTTGAGTCGACTCAAAAGTCGACTCTAGAGTTGGCGCAGACACAGGTGCCGCCCACTGACCCCACCAGCTGCGGGTTTTGAGACGCCTCAGAACGTGGCATCCCAGCATTGTACTGACAACAGCAATGGCTCACCCGGCGCCTTCACGAGAGTTTCGGAGTAGAGATGGTGCAGATGCAGATGCCCCCCTGCTGACCCCATCAGGTGCAGCCACTGTTGCCATCTGAAAAGGACAAAAACAAGGAGGACACGTTAAAATATCGTCTGACCCAACCAGGTGTAGGCATTGGTACCACCTGCGAAAAACTATGAACACATGAATAGACAGTTGAAGGCGCCTGAAAAAACGAGACAATCATGATCAGACACATCATCCCATCGCAACAGCCCCACCAATCCCATCTCATCGGCCCGCCTTGCCCCGCCTTCTCTCACCTATCTTGCCCCCAAACGCACACCACAGGGTTCTGCACTCGAACCCCCTCCTCCACCAATCCCAACGCAAAGATATCCACAGGCTCTTCCCGTCGTGCCCGTGACTGTTGCTCCTGCTGCTCCTGCCTCTCCTGACGCTGTTGCTGCTGCTGCTCCTGTGGCTGTTGCTGCTGCTGCTGCTGCCGCTGCCGCAGTGGTTTGTCCTCGTGAATCCGCTCATTCTCCCATTCCTCTTCCTTCTGTCCCTCCTCTTGCTGTTCCCAATCCCCCTGGCCCTTCCCTTCGCCCCCCTCCTTCTTGGAAGTCACCGGAGGTGCAGGGAGTGGGGTGGAGAGTGCGTGGGGGAGGAAGAGCCGGAGGGCAGTCAGCAGGTCCTGAAGCCTGTCGATCATTGCAAGGGCTGGCAGTAGGGGATACAATGGTAGACGGGAAGACAATAAGAGGGGAGAGTGCGTGGGGGAGGAAGAGCCGGAGGGCAGTCAGCAGGTCCTGAAGCCTGTCGATCATTGCAAGGGCTGGCAGTAGGGGATACAATGGTAGACGGGAAGACAATAAGAGGGGAGAGTGCGTGGGGGAGGAAGAGCCGGAGGGCAGTCAGCAGGTCCTGAAGCCTGTCGATCATTGCAGAGGCTGGGTGGTGGGGAAAGAATGGTAGACGGGAAGACACCCACCCACCCATCCACCCACCCACTCACATTCAGTGTCGATGACCCGGGGAGGGGCGTAGCCATACGGCGTGTCTAGCTCCTCCCTCTTGATCACATCCCCCATGTAGGCAGGCAGACAGGGAGGAAACACACACAAGTATGGATAGGCAACCGCACAGACCAAGGAACACATTCAAAGCACCCACCCACCTTCACTGTCTATCTCTGGGGGAGGGGCGTAGTCATACGGCGTGTCTAGCTCCTCCCTCTCGATCACATCCCCCATGTAGGCAGGCAGACAGGGAGGAAACACACACAAGTATGGATAGGCAACCGCACAGACCAAGGAACACATTCAAAGAACCCACCCACCTTCACTGTCTATCTCTGGGGGAGGGGCGTAGTCATACGGCGTGTCTAGCTCCTCCCTCTCGATCACATCCCCCATGTAGGCAGGCAGACAGGGAGGAAACACACACAAGTATGGATAGGCAACCGCACAGACCAAGGAACACATTCAAAGAACCCACCCACCTTCACTGTCAATCTCTGGAGGAGGGGCGTAGTCATACGGGGTGTCTAGCTCCTCCCTCTCGATCACATCCCCCATGTAAGGGAACACGCCGGCAGTGCGGGCTAGATCTGCAGTGACAAGAAAAGATGGGAAGATGGGAAAACAGGAGATGTGACTTGATATTCCTCAAGTGCCACACCCCCTTACAGCCCCATTACACCTTTGTTACATCATACCAGGGTATGTTTTATGAGAATTCTAAAAAACACAGCCCCATCACACCTCCCTTACATCATACCAGGACTTCATCATAATTGCCCGTGCTTCCATCGCAACCCGGAAAGTGACCTTTGACTCTGCGAATAGCATAGCCCAACCCACTTAAGACCTCTGCTCCAAGTCTCTTTGAATTGCATCGACTCGCCTTACCTGCAAACCGTCCTTGAGACCTCTGCTCCCATCGCAAACCTAAAAGTAGCTCGAATTGACTCTTATAGTCCCTTCGAGCTACTTCTAGAATCTGAACACAGTTTCAACTTCCGCTCGTTACAAAACCCTTGCTTTCGGTTCTGGAGACCTCCTCTAATCGCCCTTGTGCCTTAGGACGTCCCAAAACCCTTGTGCCTTAGGACGTCCCAAAACTACTCATCTTACCAGGAAACCGTACCTGAGCCTTTAGACATCTCAAGCTACCCCACCGCTTTACACCCATGCATCTTCTCACCTGGAAACCGCTCCTAAACGTCCTGCTTCCATCACAACCCCACAGCCCCCCCTTTCTACAAGTACTCTCTCTTACCCCGAAGCCATCTTACCCGGAAACCGTTTCTGAGCCTCCTGCTACCATTGCAAGCCCCCCACAGGGCCACTCAGCGAATGCTTTTTGAGTCAAATCCCGACTCAATTGTTTCAGCACCTCTCTACACCCATTCATCTTACCCGGGAACCGTTCCTGAGCCTCCTGCTTCCATCGCAACCGCCCTGACAGGGCCACTCAGCAGGTGCACCATCCCAGCGAATGTTTTTTTAGTCAAATCACGGCTCACCTGTTTCAGCACCTCTCTACACCCATTCATCTTACCCGGGAACCGTTCCTGAGCCTCCTGCTTCCATCGCAATCCCCCCACAGGGGCACTCAGCGGGTGCACCTTCCCAGAAGCTTCCATCTCCTCCCACAGGCGGGCCACTGCCTCAAACTCGGCCTCTGCTGCCTCCTCCTCCTGCTCGCCCTCCTCCCACTCCCACCCCGGGATGTTCTTGTACTCGTTATGATTGTACTCGTTATAGTCGTGTAGAGCGGACTCGGCTGATTCATTCCTGCGGCTTTTGTCATGCTCACTGTTGTTACCATTGGTCCGGCTGCTGCTCCTTTGATAGCCACTGTCACTCCTTCTGGCAAACTCAAATTTACTATCAGTATATTTGCTATCCCTTTTTACGTTGCCGCCTAATTCTGACGTGTCCTTCCCACCCTCACTCCAGCGAACCTGTTCCGAGGCTCCGCCACCCATTTGTTCCAAAAACGAAGCAAGATCCGGCCGAGCCTGATCCGAACCTCTTTCAGCTGGCTCTTGGCTGGATCCGAGCCTGTCTTGGTTCGGTAGGTTCGGAGACTCATTAGACTCAGTGATTCTCCCGGGCCTTCTGTCGAGGTTCGGGAAGACGGAGGCTCGGATCTCCTCTTGGCTCGGCATGGATGAATAGTTGATAAAACGAATCTTCGTGGGATCTGTCCCCTCCCATCGAGAGGGCCTGATAGTTTCTGACGTGGCAGAAGATGATGAGGTGGAGGATGATGACGTGGCAGGTGGAGACGTGGCAGATGGTGACATGGCAGATGCTGATGTGGCAGAACTTCCTTGAAAACGAGAATGAGAAGTAAGCTCTCTGACGTCTTTCCCATCCTCAGGAACATGGCTTGTTGTTTCCATTGCCGTCAACTGTATAATTCCCTTACGTTTCCCCTTCCCTTTCGCCTTCCCTTTCTCATTACCCCCCTCCTTCCTCTCCTCCGTACTTTTCTCTTTCCTCTCCTCTTTCCTCACCTCCTTCTTCGCCTGCTTCCTCTCTGCGTTCCTATCATTCACCTCTCCCCTTTTCTTCGACGGTTTAAGTCCCTCCCTTTCCCGCACAGCACCCAACCCTCGGCCCCTCTTCTCCTCCCCATCACCACCTCTTCCTCCCTCTCCTCCCTTCCTTTCGTTCGCATTCTTCTTGCTCTTATCTCCCTTCTTTCCCTTGGCCCTCTTCCTCTCCACATTCGCGGAAACTTCCAAGCTGGTCGGTTTCCCCGCTCCTTCCCCAGCCGCTACAGCTGTCAACTTAGTTAATCTCTTCCAGGAACCCGTAGTTAATCTATTTCGTAGGAGTGTAGGAGGCTCCACGACAGCCGCAGTGGATGTGGATCTATCCCATGAACACGTGTATACGTGGCAAGAGGTACAGTGTCGTGCTGTTTGGAAGATCGGAATACGCGCGGCGGAAAAATACGTGAGCGTGGAAGTTTCCATTACTCACAACAGCGAAGAATCTTAGAAAATGACAGTAGGAAAAGGGCAAAAGATCAAAGTAAAAAAGGCAAAGCGCACGAGGCAAGAATAAGCAGTATCGACGTGCTGTGCTGCTGCAAGTTAGGCCGGCGATGACCGGCAAGCAGTAAGCGCGAGCAGCGGGGAGGCCACTAAAAGAGCATTCTAGCTTGCTATGTGATTGAAGAAGTGTTTTGAGACGTCTCAAAACAAGCAGTAAGCGCGAGCAGCGGGGAGGCCACTAAACTGCTTGCTCGAGCAGCAGTAAAAGAGCATTCTAGCTTGCTCGAGTGAGGTGACTCGAGTGTTCCAAGGAGGTTTCAGGTTTAGGAGATTCTGACATTCTGAACTGCAGGCGATTCTTGAAAATTCCGCGATGTGGCTTGGCTTGGGAGGAAATTCGATACCCGTTTTCGTCAACCCGTTAGCAGGGCTAATTGAGTGGAACCAAGTTCCCCAAGTAAATAATGCATGGTAGTTGCGTAGAAAAAAATTTCCTTCGTAAGGTATTAAAGGTTGATAAACGAAACAGGGTATAACTACAGCAGAATACAATAAGCAGAAACGCACAATGAAACGGTCATATCTCTTTGCACGTTCCCACTTTCCGATTTCCACCCACCTTTCCCTGCTTTAACTACAGTACCACACAACCTCTTTACAAAATCAGGGAACCTTTCTAGCTTCACAACATCCTTAGTCACTGCCTGATTTACTCAAATCAATATGCTGCTCTGGCAGCTCACTTAGTGCCTCCTAAAAATGCGCACTTTATCCCCGTTACAAGGTGTGCCGCAGAACGCTCGACACGAAAAGCAATTACAACTCGAGATTGCTGGACTCCGCAGCAGCTTTGGCAGCAGCCTTCTTGGTCTCCTGCCTTGCCGCCCGCATGGCTTGTATTTCAGCATGCATCTCCCGCTCCCTCGCACCCCGGCTGCCCTGCTCCACCACCCTGCGCTTCCTCGATAGAGACTGCTTGCTGTTAGCACAAGGGGATGGAAGGGAAGGAAAAGGAAAGCTTTAGATCTTGAAATCTCAGCGTGCATCTCCCGCTCCCTTGCTCCCCGATTGCCCTGCTCCACCACCCTCCTCTTCCTCGATAGAGACTGCTTGCTGTTGGGATGGAGAATGGAAGAAAAGGGATCAAGGGAGTACAAGCGAATGCTGTAACGCATCAAACAAAGTGGATAACTGTTTCTAATTCCAGTTGATTGCCCCAAAACACACCTGAAAAAAGAATAGTGCGTGGCATCAAACATATTGAGCATGTGCCTCTCCTTTTGAAACACCTCAAAATTCTCCTCAAGAATCTTAACGCACACATTCCTTACCATTCCTCCCCTTCTTGCCTGCAAAAAAAAAAAAAAAAAAAAAAAAAGAAGAAGAAAAAACCCTCAGATGGTGCAAGACAAAATTATCAGATGCTGGGGAAAAGAAACTCAGACTCACATGGTGGGTCCGTGAGTCTCGATCAGCCCTCGCTTTTGAAAGCTCTTGAAGCGGTCACGAACGAGAGTGAAGGAGCCCTGGCAGGGGGGAATGACAGCACGAGGAGACGCAAGAAGGAAATGCTCCGTGAGTCTCAATCAGCCCTCTCTTCTGAACGCTCTTGAAGCACTCACGGACGAGAGAGAAGGAGCCCTGGGGATGACGAGATGACTTTTGAGTCGACTCAAAAGTCACTCCTGGACAAGAGAAAAGGAGCCCTGGGGATGACGAGAGAAAAGGAGCCCTGGGGATGACGAGAGACAAGGAGCCCTGGGGATGACGAGAGAAAAGGAGCCCTGGGGATGACGAGAGACAAGGAGCCCTGGAGATGACGAGAGAAAAGGAGCCCTGGGGATGACGAGAGAAAAGGAGCCCTGGGGATGACGAGAGAAAAGGAGCCCTGGGGATGACGAGAGACAAGGAGCCCTGGGCATGACGAGAGAAAAGGAGCCCTGGGGATGACGAGAGAAAAGGAGCCCTGGGGATGACGAGAGAAAAGGAGCCCTGGGGATGACGAGAGAAAAGGAGCCCTGGGGATGACGAGAGAAAAGGAGCCCTGGGCATGACGAGAGAAAAGGAGCCCTGGGGATGACGAGAGAAAAGGAGCCCTGGGGATGACGAGAGAAAAGGAGCCCTGGGGATGACGAGAGAAAAGGAGCCCTGGGGATGACGAGAGACAAGGAGCCCTGGGGATGACGAGAGACAAGGAGCCCTGGGGATGACGAGAGAAAAGGAGCCCTGGGGATGACGAGAGACAAGGAGCCCTGGGGATGACGAGAGAAAAGGAGCCCTGGGGATGACGAGAGACAAGGAGCCCTGGGGATGACGAGAGAAAAGGAGCCCTGGGGATGACGAGAGAAAAGGAGCCCTGGGGATGACGAGAGAAAAGGAGCCCTGGGGATGACGAGAGAAAAGGAGCCCTGGGGATGACGAGAGAAAAGGAGCCCTGGGGATGACGAGAGAAAAGGAGCCCTGGGGATGACGAGAGAAAAGGAGCCCTGGGGATGACGAGAGAAAAGGAGCCCTGGGGATGACGAGAGAAAAGGAGCCCTGGGGATGACGAGAGAAAAGGAGCCCTGGGGATGACGAGAGACAAGGAGCCCTGGGCATGACGAGAGAAAAGGAGCCCTGGGGATGACGAGAGAAAAGGAGCCCTGGGGATGACGAGAGAAAAGGAGCCCTGGGGATGACGAGAGAAAAGGAGCCCTGGGGATGACGAGAGAAAAGGAGCCCTGGGCATGACGAGAGAAAAGGAGCCCTGGGGATGACGAGAGAAAAGGAGCCCTGGGGATGACGAGAGAAAAGGAGCCCTGGGGATGACGAGAGAAAAGGAGCCCTGGGGATGACGAGAGACAAGGAGCACTGGGGATGACGAGAGACAAGGAGCCCTGGGGATGACGAGAGAAAAGGAGCCCTGGGGATGACGAGAGACAAGGAGCCCTGGGGATGACGAGAGAAAAGGAGCCCTGGGGATGACGAGAGAAAAGGAGCCCTGGGGATGACGAGAGAAAAGGAGCCCTGGGGATGACGAGAGACAAGGAGCCCTGGGCATGACGAGAGAAAAGGAGCCCTGGGGATGACGAGAGAAAAGGAGCCCTGGGGATGACGAGAGAAAAGGAGCCCTGGGGATGACGAGAGAAAAGGAGCCCTGGGGATGACGAGAGAAAAGGAGCCCTGGGGATGACGAGAGAAAAGGAGCCCTGGGGATGACGAGAGAAAAGGAGCCCTGGGGATGACGAGAGACAAGGAGCCCTGGGCATGACGAGAGAAAAGGAGCCCTGGGGATGACGAGAGAAAAGGAGCCCTGGGGATGACGAGAGAAAAGGAGCCCTGGGGATGACGAGAGAAAAGGAGCCCTGGGGATGACGAGAGACAAGGAGCCCTGGGGATGACGAGAGAAAAGGAGCCCTGGGGATGACGAGAGAAAAGGAGCCCTGGGGATGACGAGAGAAAAGGAGCCCTGGGGATGACGAGAGAAAAGGAGCCCTGGGGATGACGAGAGAAAAGGAGCCCTGGGGATGACGAGAGAAAAGGAGCCCTGGGGATGACGAGAGACAAGGAGCCCTGGGCATGACGAGAGAAAAGGAGCCCTGGGGATGACGAGAGACAAGGAGCCCTGGGCATGACGAGAGAAAAGGAGCCCTGGGGATGACGAGAGAAAAGGAGCCCTGGGGATGACGAGAGAAAAGGAGCCCTGGGGATGACGAGAGAAAAGGAGCCCTGGGGATGACGAGAGAAAAGGAGCCCTGGGGATGACGAGAGACAAGGAGCCCTGGGCATGACGAGAGAAAAGGAGCCCTGGGGATGACGAGAGAAAAGGAGCCCTGGGGATGACGAGAGAAAAGGAGCCCTAAAAATGACGAGAGAAAAGGAGCCCTGGGGATGACGAGAGAAAAGGAGCCCTGGGGATGACGAGAGAAAAGGAGCCCTGGGGATGACGAGAGAAAAGGAGCCCTGGGGATGACGAGAGAAAAGGAGCCCTGGGGATGACGAGAGACAAGGAGCCCTGGGCATGACGAGAGAAAAGGAGCCCTGGGGATGACGAGAGAAAAGGAGCCCTGGGGATGACGAGAGAAAAGGAGCCCTGGGGATGACGAGAGAAAAGGAGCCCTGGGGATGACGAGAGACAAGGAGCCCTGGGCATGACGAGAGAAAAGGAGCCCTGGGGATGACGAGAGAAAAGGAGCCCTGGGGATGACGAGAGAAAAGGAGCCCTGGGGATGACGAGAGAAAAGGAGCCCTGGGGATGACGAGAGAAAAGGAGCCCTGGGGATGACGAGAGACAAGGAGCCCTGGGGATGACGAGAGAAAAGGAGCCCTGGGGATGACGAGAGAAAAGGAGCCCTGGGGATGACGAGAGAAAAGGAGCCCTGGGGATGACGAGAGAAAAGGAGCCCTGGGGATGACGAGAGACAAGGAGCCCTGGGGATGACGAGAGAAAAGGAGCCCTGGGGATGACGAGAGAAAAGGAGCCCTGGGGATGACGAGAGAAAAGGAGCCCTGGGGATGACGAGAGAAAAGGAGCCCTGGGGATGACGAGAGAAAAGGAGCCCTGGGGATGACGAGAGAAAAGGAGCCCTGGGGATGACGAGAGAAAAGGAGCCCTGGGGATGACGAGAGAAAAGGAGCCCTGGGGATGACGAGAGAAAAGGAGCCCTGGGGATGACGAGAGACAAGGAGCCCTGGGGATGACGAGAGACAAGGAGCCCTGGGGATGACGAGAGAAAAGGAGCCCTGGGGATGACGAGAGAAAAGGAGCCCTGGGGATGACGAGAGAAAAGGAGCCCTGGGGATGACGAGAGAAAAGGAGCCCTGGGGATGACGAGAGACAAGGAGCCCTGGGGATGACGAGAGAAAAGGAGCCCTGGGGATGACGAGAGAAAAGGAGCCCTGGGGATGACGAGAGAAAAGGAGCCCTGGGGATGACGAGAGAAAAGGAGCCCTGGGGATGACGAGAGAAAAGGAGCCCTGGGGATGACGAGAGAAAAGGAGCCCTGGGGATGACGAGAGAAAAGGAGCCCTGGGGATGACGAGAGACAAGGAGCCCTGGGCATGACGAGAGAAAAGGAGCCCTGGGGATGACGAGAGAAAAGGAGCCCTGGGGATGACGAGAGAAAAGGAGCCCTGGGGATGACGAGAGAAAAGGAGCCCTGGGGATGACGAGAGACAAGGAGCCCTGGGGATGACGAGAGAAAAGGAGCCCTGGGGATGACGAGAGAAAAGGAGCCCTGGGGATGACGAGAGACAAGGAGCCCTGGGGATGACGAGAGAAAAGGAGCCCTGGGGATGACGAGAGACAAGGAGCCCTGGGGATGACGAGAGAAAAGGAGCCCTGGGGATGACGAGAGAAAAGGAGCCCTGGGGATGACGAGAGAAAAGGAGCCCTGGGGATGACGAGAGAAAAGGAGCCCTGGGGATGACGAGAGAAAAGGAGCCCTGGGGATGACGAGAGAAAAGGAGCCCTGGGGATGACGAGAGACAAGGAGACCTGGGCATGACGAGAGAAAAGGAGCCCTGGGGATGACGAGAGAAAAGGAGCCCTGGGGATGACGAGAGAAAAGGAGCCCTGGGGATGACGAGAGAAAAGGAGCCCTGGGGATGACGAGAGAAAAGGAGCCCTGGGGATGACGAGAGAAAAGGAGCCCTGGGGATGACGAGAGAAAAGGAGCCCTGGGGATGACGAGAGAAAAGGAGCCCTGGGGATGACGAGAGAAAAGGAGCCCTGGGGATGACGAGAGAAAAGGAGCCCTGGGGATGACGAGAGAAAAGGAGCCCTGGGGATGACGAGAGAAAAGGAGCCCTGGGGATGACGAGAGAAAAGGAGCCCTGGGGATGACGAGAGAAAAGGAGCCCTGGGGATGACGAGAGAAAAGGAGCCCTGGGGATGACGAGAGAAAAGGAGCCCTGGGGATGACGAGAGAAAAGGAGCCCTGGGGATGACGAGAGACAAGGAGCCCTGGGGATGACGAGAGAAAAGGAGCCCTGGGGATGACGAGAGAAAAGGAGCCCTGGGGATGACGAGAGACAAGGAGCCCTGGGGATGACGAGAGAAAAGGAGCCCTGGGGATGACGAGAGAAAAGGAGCCCTGGGGATGACGAGAGAAAAGGAGCCCTGGGGATGACGAGAGAAAAGGAGCCCTGGGGATGACGAGAGAAAAGGAGCCCTGGGGATGACGAGAGAAAAGGAGCCCTGGGGATGACGAGAGACAAGGAGCCCTGGGGATGACGAGAGACAAGGAGCCCTGGGGATGACGAGAGAAAAGGAGCCCTGGGGATGACGAGAGACAAGGAGCCCTGGGCATGACGAGAGAAAAGGAGCCCTGGGGATGACGAGAGAAAAGGAGCCCTGGGGATGACGAGAGAAAAGGAGCCCTGGGGATGACGAGAGAAAAGGAGCCCTGGGGATGACGAGAGACAAGGAGCCCTGGGGATGACGAGAGAAAAGGAGCCCTGGGGATGACGAGAGAAAAGGAGCCCTGGGGATGACGAGAGACAAGGAGCCCTGGGCATGACGAGAGAAAAGGAGCCCTGGGGATGA